CTGGGGATGCCCAGACCAGAAAGTCGTAGGAAAGGTCCAACACAAATACACAATTACAGACAAAATCAGAGAGGTTTGGGTGGAGTTGTAGCCTCAAAGGAGAGGGGGACTGCATCAGGTGGATGGGGGAGACATTCATAAAAGTCTTTTGTGATTTCTGCAATTAATAAGGGAAGAATTTACATTGTCTATCATTTGAGCTGAATGAATCGAGTGTAAAGTAAGTACTATGGGGGAGGAAACAAACAAACAAACAGACATTAAGACTGCCTAGTACCTTTTCTATCACTGGTTCTTTCTACATCTTTAAGAAATTGTTCTGCGTCCCTAAAATGGATTTATAGTAATTCAGAAACTGGCCCCAAGTCATTAATATCAGAGAAGTGTGCTAGTTTGGGGTGTGAGGGGCTAGTGGAATTCTAGTTTTAAACTCTTTGTGACAATGTTTTAAAATCATGTTAGATCATAAAAAATTGGCCTTTTTTGCATTTGAGAAGCCAGACTTAAATTAACTGTTTTTTAAATTGTCTGGTCTGCTCTAGTTGTTCCCCAGATAATGAATGCTGGGCGACAGCAGCACTCTGCATCCAGGGAGAACATCCCTGGTGGAAGGAGCTGGTTCCAATCCATTCTTCGTGGACTCAGGCATGAATAATGGATCATGCTTCAAACTTTGAAAGGGATATGAGAGTCTGAGGACGCTAGGAAACAAAGACCAATCAGAAGTACAGCTTCCTTTCCCAAGTTCAGTACTAGGCTTCTCATAGCCCTTTCAGGCATCTACCTGGGAAGACACAAAATAGAATGTCTTCAAATGGTGATGTCTTGCAGGGAGCCATTTCACACCATAGCTGCTTTCAAAGCTCTTCGCCTCCACATCTTAGGCCCCACGTGGCTGGCTTCAAGCAAATGGCTCAGTCTTCACAGGCAGTCTGCCAGCCACATCAACCTGGGCAGGAAAAAAAAAAATCAAGCAAGAAAGAGGGAAGGGAGCAGAAGTAAAGGCTCCCTGGAACTTCTTTCTGACTCACCATGCGACTCCTTACAAAATCCATTTTCTTTCTCTTTGAAAGTGAGTGTAGGTCCGATATACTCCAAGTTGGGCCAAGTTAACTCTTGCAAAAGACAGACATTCAACTAAATGGAAGGCATGTGTGGTGGTTATATAATCTGTTGTCAATTTGAGACTTAAGAGTGAAGTGGTAGAGTTTAGCCTGTCAATCAGGTCGCAGCTTGATGACCTCATTTGGAGGCACTAAAGAGATAAATAGCTCTCAGGAGGCTTGCTCCCTAGAAGACATTGCAGCTGACACGACACATGGTGCTACACTAGTGCCTTGAGCTGGAGGCGCTACAGGAGTCCCCTGTCAGCACTGAGATGCTTACACTGCCACGGGATCCACAAGATGTCCCACTCACTGGCCTGTGATCTTCCTGTATTTGGTGTCATTCCATGTGTTTTGTGAGCCTGAAGAGGACTTTATAGATTGGTATCAGACATATGGGCTAATATCGGAGTTTGGGACTTGATCTGGACTGGTCTGGGATGTTTTCTGAATGTGCAATTACTCTTTATATAAAGCCCTTTCTTATTCATACAATGAGTCTCCCTGGATTTGTTTCTCTAGTCCGCCCAGACAAACAGCATGCTTTGCGCTCTTTGCAAGTCACCGCTCATGTCCACCAGGCTTCTCCTCCTCCCCCAGTGCAAAGTTTGAATTCATAGCCAGTTGTTGTGCATGGCCCAGGAGCATCTTTGATGGTGATTGATGAAGGTCTCAATTGGCCTTGATTGATTGATTGTATTTTTAACCCCTGTGTTTCTGAAGAGCAGAGTTGTTTCTAAGTCACTGGTCACGGTCATGTCGATGAAGAGGGACATCTGGTTATTCTTAGCATTCTTCCCAGTCCCCGGGAGCATCAATATTCTCTTCTCAAGGACTCTATCATTTAAGACAGAAGGTCCTTCTCCAAAGACTTGATGGATTGTGAGGTAATTTGTATAGGTGGAGCTCTATAATTTGTATAGAAGGATCAAGTCTAATGTACAGCCAGGATTTCTGAGACTGTACATCTTTATAGAATAGAAAGCCTCATCTTTCTTCCAGGAAGGGTCTGGTGGTTCCAAACAGCTGACCTTGCAGTTAACAGCCCAGCATGTAGTCAGTTAGGCCACCAGGGCTCTTCTTTCTGAATCAGGCTGTACAAATAAATATATTCCAGCTTGTAATAATTACCCCATCTATATTCAGGTGGGAAGGATGAGCAAAAGAAATAGGTCATAGAAGGAACTGGAATCCATTGCCTCTGTGAATGAGCTTGCTCAGAAGTCATGAAAAGGAAATGGGGTGGACTATTTTTCCAGAGAGTCAAGGAAATGTGTTCTATAGAGAGAAGATTTATATTTTCTTATAGGAAAGTCATGTATTATTCTCTTGCTTAGTAAAGATAAAAGCTTCACCATAGATTTCTCCCCCCCCCCCCCGGGGAAATCAACCCTGAAATGCTAATCACCTTTTTATGAAAGTGAAAAGGATCATTTAAAAAATATTAGAAAGCTCAGCGTGGATCTGTGTCTTGCTTCAACAGTTTTGCATGGAACAGACCTGGGGACCAGCCACCTCCAGCCTCCAACCACTCTCTAACTTCCTCTCCAAGTGCAACCTCAGGGACCATCTTCTTGGGAAGCCCCTCTTTTGGGGACCAGCTAACACCATTTTCTTTTGTGTGTGGATACCTCCAAACCCTAGACCAATCTTGAGCTCTCAGATCCCTCCGAATTATTCCAATGAAGTTGAGCGTCAACCTGCATGTATTAGTCCAGGTAGACTAGAGAAACAAATCCAGAGAGACTCACCTATGTATAGGAAAGAACTTTCTATTAAAGAGTAATTGTATATTAAGAAAACATCCCAGCCCAGTCCAAATCAAGTCCATAAGTCTGATATTAGCCCATTAGTCCGATATCAGTCTGTAAATCCCTCTTCAGACTCTTGCAACACATGCAATGATGCAGAATGCAGGAAGATCATAGGCCAATGGGTAGAAAGTCTTGTGGATCCAGTGGGGATGGAAATATCTCTGGCTCCTCCAGCTCCAGGGCTCTGGCTCTATCAGTGTAGCTTGTGTGACTTGTTAATAGGAATGTCTCACAGGGAGACAAGCAGAGAATGGGTCTGGCCTCCAGTGAACTATTTATCTCCGTAGTGCCTCCAAATGAGGTCATCAAGTTGTGACCTGATTAACAGGCTAAACTCTACTCCTTCACTCTTAATACCTTCAAGTTGACACCAGATTATGTAACTACCACACTGCCTCTGCAGGCCTCTTACACCTGCCTCTCTCTGGCCTTCTATTTCCACTGTGACAATGTGCCCTTGGAAGGACACTTCTTCCACCAGGGCACCAGCCATCTCTTGAAGCTGAAAACCCTGCGAGGCGGGCACACCCACTTCTGGATATGCAAAAGCCCCCCACGATGTGTGGGATGGAACCCTGGACACCAGGGAGTTGCGGTGGTCCTGGAGAAGTACCTCCACGAGGCCCTTCTGAACCTGCATACTGTGGGGTCTACTCACACAGACCCCCATCTCTGTGACTTTCTAAACCACTGACCTTGCAGTTAGCAGCCCAATGCATAGCCACTTGCAGATCACAAAACAATGGGTCCAAATGAATCTTCCAGGCACGGCTTCACTCGCAAAATCATGTTTCTTGAACTAAAGGGTCATTGATGACAGAACAGGACACATCAGTTGTGTTGGTAGAAAGAGGGCGGAAGACATTAGAGGAAGCAGATGAAAGGAGAGAAATGGGTGTTTTCCTAGAGCTGTTGCATCAGCTCCTTACTGCTTTCTGAAACAAAGTTAAGACAAATGTTAACCAGTGCTTTCTGTTACACACCATCAAGAGCTCAGCAACAAGTTTCCAGTAAACACCACTTCATATTTTAAACAACGTCCTACAGGATAGGGGGCTGTCAATTTTAAGGGATTGTAGATGCAGTGTGAATGCTTTTGCATGCAAAAATAGGAAAAATGTCTCGAGTTCATTTCATTCAATCTTTAAGGTTATTAAGTGTGTGATTCTGTGTGTGTGTGCACAGATGGCAGAATGGGCATACATTCTTCAATTGATTTGTACCACATACTTATATTACATGAAGCTTTTCAAAGACTCATGTGCTTCTTTACTTTACATCATATCATGGCAGATACTGCATGCCTCGCCTTTTGTATGAAAACAAGTCAAATTCCAAGTATTACAAATAAATGATTTCCTACTTCATTTACTAAAGGCCATAGATCATATCTGTTTCTTCTACATTAATATAGAACAATGTATTTTATGAGAAGCAGTCTGTGCAAAGTGTATATAATTACATATCAAAGTAAAATGCACAGGACACAGATGAGTTGAGCCACCTTGTCCCCATACCCACGCCACCCGTCGAGGAATGAAGTTGCTCCTATAAGCTCCTCCCACAGCTGCTCCTGGGCTCTTCTGAAAGGATTCATCACGTTTCCCCTTGTACTTTATACTCCCCCTTCTTTCCCCACTTAAATGTAAGCTTCTCTCAAGCAGGGGGAGCCCCAGAGGGGTAGTGGTTATGAGTTGGACTTCGAATTGCAAGGTCAGCTGTTTGACACCACCAGCTGCTCCTCAGGAGACAGACTCCTGTGACGGCTGCAGTCTGGGAAGCTCACCCGAGCAGTTCTAGCCCGGCTACCGAGTCTCTATGTGGCAGAGCAGCTCCACGGCAGGGAGTTTCCTCAAGTCGGGTAGTTGGCCCAGCGCAGATGTAGCTCAATAAACAATAACTGAATGAATTAAGTTTTCTCGTTGACCAACCAAACACACACACACACACACACACACACACACACACACACACACCTACTACATACAAACACTTTCACAGCAAACACCGTTTGACAATTAGCTCTAAAACCCACCTATCTCTTATCCCTGGAGAATTATGAGTCAAAGTCCAACCAGCCATGCAGAAACTGTTTTATTGAAGAGAGAGCTCATCAGAGTCCCTTGAACTGAGTATCATTAAAGAATAAAATTTGTGCAGGAATTGGCAAAAATATACAAGGCATCATGCAGCTGAACAGCACAGTAAACCTGTTCTAGTGACAAAGTTCCTTTTACAAGAGGAGGTGTTCGCATTAGCTGAATGCTATGTTTTCTTATGTTCGCTTATTATCAATTCTCCTCCTTGCCAGCCAAACTTAACCCCATTAAAGCTGAAAGGCCCTACCTTTAAGAGACTGGAACAAGTTTCCCCTTTCTGGTTGCTCCCCCCAACCCCCCATACTTGAAGTAACTCCCACTCCTACAGCAGGAAGAAGGCCCCAGAAGCAGATTGCCCGCCGCCAGCTCAAGGTCTTAGGCTCTCACGAACAGGAGGAGAAGCTTGAGGCGTTAGCGGTAGAAGACGGGGTCCCTAGTTCTGTTCAGATTCCAGCTGAGTGAGGCGCCTGACGATCAGGCTGTTGATTTTCTTAAGTTCATCTATGTCCTTTCCTTCGGCTGTCAATCTTCTCGACACATCGTCCATCTTGCTTCTGGTTTGAACTTCAAAATGGAAAACAGAGTGAGTCACATTGATGTCCAGTGTGTCCCATCAGGACTGGTCAGATCCCCTAGTTAGTGCTCAGCTGGGCGATCCCTGCTCCAATATCCCACACAGCCCAGGAGCCCCGGAGAGAAATTGCTGAAGTCTGAAGTTACCTACCAAATGAGTTATTTTTACAGCCTCTCGTTGCCAGCCGGGACTACTCTTGGCAGCTCCACCCAGATTTTGGCAGGCTAAGACAGAGCTGTGAGCGATGGCAGAAAACTACCAGGCTGCTGATTGCTCGCCCCAGAGATGCGCTGTGAAAAATAGCCCCATGGCACCAACTCAAATGTCTTCCCTGCCCCAGCATCTGGCACCCTCTGTGGAGATAATTTTGCCAATCGCATTAGTTCAAAAAGACAAGTCAAACTCATTAATCTTTTACTTTGCACAGTGTGTTGCGCCAGGAAAATTACAATTGTATCTTCCTTTCTTTCACTGGTGAAAAGTAATCTATGATGTGCTCCGTCGTTTTCCATTTGTTTGTTTGTTTTGTTTTTCTTCCTTCACCACCTTTTCTTTCCCCACTCACTGTCGATCCATACCAAAACTCACTGTCCACAAGTCTGTTCTGACACATAAGGATCCTCCCGGACAGAGGAGAACTAGCCCTGGCGGTTTCTGAGACTTTAAAGCTTGACAAGAGTTCACAGCCTCATCTTCCTCTCAAGGATCCGCTGGTGGGTTCAAACAACTGACTTCATGGTTAGGAGCTCAATGTGTAACCCACTAGACTTCCAGAGCTCCCTACCTTGATGCATGGAGGCTCTCAGTACAAAAGTGTTCATGTCACCTTGCTGAGTGAACTCTCACAGCTGGTGATGGAAACGGCAATGGTGACGAGAAGCTGCCCCAGACCTATGGGAATGATAGTGATTTCTGAGATTATTCTGAGAACATGTTTTTCTGCTCTTCATGTAAGAAATGCCTTTCTTTGGGCTACAGTCTATTTTGAAATAGCCCTGCTGCTTCTAAATTACCAGTCCATAATGAATGTATCCCCTCAGACAACTGTGGAAAGCAGAGGTGTCAGAATGTCAGAATAAACAGAACCCCTGATGAGACAGCAAGCCGGGGACTGGAATACTTGGAGGGCTGTGTGTCAATGTTAGCATTCCCAAGAAATGCAGCACAAAATCAATACTTGATATTTGAGCTCCTTATCATTTCCACTTCAGGCATAACTCCCCCCCACCCCCCCACCCCCCCCTGCCACAAAGGCATCTTTCAAGAACTAATGGTATTGGTAACATGCAGCTGGGCTTAGCTGATAAACTAACCTGGGGAGATAAACTGGATGTTTAAGGTCCACTAGAGGAGGCGGTCTTCTCCCATAAAGATTAACAGCCTTGGAAAGGCCAACACAAAGCTCCTTTTACAAGAGGAGGTGTTCGCATTAGCTGAATATTCTTATGTTAGTTTATTATCAATTCTCCTCCATGCCGGCCAGGCTTAACCCCACTATGAGTCAGATTGAACTCAATGTCTGTGGGTTTGGTATCTGACTTTAGACTGGGTTCAGATTTGTCTGAAAAACACAAAAGCCATTCTTTGTATCTCAGGAGGGGCCCTGGAGCTCTGAGGAGCTCTATTTTGAACCCCTGCACTGGCTCTTACTGGGCAGGTGACATTGGAGAAGTGAACTCTCAGGGCACCCCAGTCATTCATCAATAGAAGAGAAATATTAGACACCACCTTGAGGGCTCAAGGGAGGGTTTGAGATCATGAATTTAGTGTGTCTAGCCCAGGGTCGTTGTCCCACAGCAAGACACCTCAGTTATTCGTATCTTTCTGTTTCTCACTTAATACGTCTCTGCCCTAAATATGTAGTACTAGAAGCAAATATAAAAGCAAATCTGACTTTTTCAAGAGGCATAGAATCATAGCTCTTGGTCTTCTATGTCAGACAGAGTTGTCTTTGAGCCCCCACTCTGCATCTATTAGCTGTGTGATCTATCAATGCACATGAATTAATCTCTCTCCGCCTTAGTTTCAACATCTATCAAAACAGACTGAAAAAGGACCCTCCAAGAGAGACTTGCTATGAAGCTGTGAGCAAATAGCTTTCAAACACTTAGCACAGTGGGGTGAGCCATGCCTTTATAGCATATATCCCTAATATTTCTCTTTGTCTTTCTGTATGTTCTCCCACAAATGACAAGAAAGAGACAGGAGTTCACTTCGGGGTGTTCCGGTGTCGTAGACACATCTAAAGTGGCAGTCATACCCAGGCAGGCGTGGCAGGGTGATATTTGGAGCATTAGACTCTGTTGGAACAGCATGTCAGAATAGTAACCCATGTGTTCTGGAGGCTCTGCTGCTCCACCTCCCCAACTGACAGCAGGCACAGGGGCTCCCTGATAACAAGGATAGCTCTTGTTTTAGCTTTTAATGCAAAAAGACATTAGTTCAGTATGAGAGAGAGAAATATCACCCACTCTGCCAAGTTCTAGGTCCCAGACCAGATAAAGACTGTCCCACTGGTGAGAAGGAGTCTTGGGGGGATGGAAGGGTTAGCAGTCATGAAAAGGTCGTGTGCAATGCCCTCCTGCCTCCTCCCATTCTCATAACTACCTCTCCTTCCAAAAGCCCTGAATGGCATGAAGGGAAAGGCATTCCAAAGATGGATGTGGCAGTTCCTGTCTGGAAATTTTGAAGGCTACTAAAACCCAAACCAAACTCACTGCCATCAAGTGGATTCCAACTCATAGAGACCCTGAGGGACTGGGTAGAACTGCCCCTGTGGGTTTCGGAGACTGTATCTCTTTTCAGGAGTAAAAAGTTTTGTCTTCCTCCTTTTGAAGGCTACAAGACCCACGGAAGGATAGAAGCAAAGGCAGCGTGCTGTCAAGGCCAAAGGGCGGCAGAGATGGCCCTCTGCCCTGAGGCTCCTCCCACTCAGGAATGGAAAGCCTTCTAAAGGAAGAGACTGCTGCAGCTGGAAGGAGATGGCAATGGCCAGAGGACAGGAGGCATCCAGGGAACAGCACTCCCGCACCTCCAAGACAGAGAACCACCCTCGATGGTGGCGTTGGTTCTCGCTCCTAGAGATACCACGTGGCAGAGAAGAACTGCCTGAGAGCGTTGACAAGGCTGTAATCTTCACGGGACCAGACTGCCAGGTCTCTCTCCTGCACCTCAACGTGGCTGGTGTGTTTGGACCGCTGACCTTTCCAGTGATGGCTGAGCAGCTTAACCACTGCGCCCTCCGAGATCCTTCCAAGGCCGAACATAGAACTGGAAACTCAGGGATCTCCTGTGGAGGAGCTGAGGTGGAATTCCTGGGCCACTGTTCAAGGGTGTGGCACCAAGGCCCACAGCATGTAGTACCAGGAGCTGGCATCAGGGTGGGACGGAACCAGAGCAACGGCAAATAAAAGGTAGCCTGCTCCTTTCACTTTGGGACTTCGTACATGCTGTGAGCTGCTTCCATCTAGTTTCCAGGAAAATATGGCTATAAAGAAACTGGGGAGGGGTTTTCAACCTGAATTAGACCTGAATTACTGGAGAACTCAATGTACTGTATTACATTGAGAAAATCTGGAGTAACTATTAGAAGAAGCTGCTCCCATTTATAGGCAGTATTACAGAAATATTTCAGGTGTTGTATGTTTGTGAACTCCAGACACTTCAGACTTACACGGCGAACATACTGGGTTTGAACACAACTAAAAGTTTGAACATTTGAGTCTACCCAGACGGGCTCAAAAGAAAAGTTAGGTAATCTAATCCCCAAAACTCGAGTCACTGAAAACCCTGGGGAGCACATTTCTACCGGGACACACATGAGTCCGAATTAACTCAACAATAATTGGTCAGTGGTGGATTGGCTGGTAGATTGGTAACCATGTCCCAGAGTGAGTGACTTCGCCAGGGCCCATTGCTCCACCTCTGCCTTTCAGTGTTAGCATTCATGCCTACAAAGCAAGTATTCATTACGAGAGCAATTTTTAAAAAGCAATAATAAAGCTAAGGGCACACAAGTAATGAAAAGCATATCACTGTTACTTACTTATTAGAAATAGCACAAAGAAAACCAGGGCCAGGCTGACCATCAGCACGATTAGCAGGCCCACAAAGAACAGGCGTTGGTTTCCATTGCCTGAGTTCGTGCTGTGTGCTGGGATTTTCTCCTCTAAAGCTGTATGAAAAAAACAACAAGAGTAACAACCAAAGCTCCTCAGCATACAGCCCGCCAGCGGAACGGGATCACTCTCCACTGCCACGGGGTGGAACGGCCCTCTGATTGCCCTGGAAAGTGACTGTTTTAGGAATGTCTTTGGGCTAGGAGCTCTTGGTAATGTGTTTACCTTCTATATTAATACTCAAAGAAGATGGACCCATTTGGGAAATTGCTTTCAAGGTTCTGGTAGTGCTGAATTAGCAGGACTTTGGGAGGGAATGAAGAAGTTAAGGGTGAAGAGTGGCAAAGGTTCTACTGCCCTCTTCTCACGGTGCCCCAGCAGTGAAATAGAGCAGCTGTGGGATGCCTACTCTGGATGGAAGATGGACCCCCTGGGATATCTCCTAAGGAAGTCCCTTTACAATGGAAATACTCACTCATGCCTTCCTGTCCTAAGAGAATCCATCAATGAATGGGCCTGGAGTATTTGGGTTTCTCAAAGCTCTTTTCAGGAGGAACATGCTCTAGAAGCAAGATCCTTTCAAATGTTTTGCAATTGAGCAAATTGGTCCACCCAAACCACCAATTGCCCCGTTTGTCCACCACTTGGTAAGATTTAATTGCCTATTAACACCCAGATTTGATTGAGTAGGAAATGTTAACAACCTGGGGCTGTAGACATCGTTGAACTGATTGTTGTATTTCCTCCTACTTGGCAATGGCTCTACAAACGGCACTACTTGATGACGGATTGGTCGTGGCTTATGTCCTCTATGTCACCCCTCAATAGCTTGATTCCTTATCAAACTGAAAGCAGAGGCTGCACCCCAACATTTGCTGCTACTGAAACGGCAATAAAAACCGTTGAACACCTGGACCCACTACAATGAGGGGGGAAAAGGAAGAATTCCAGAAGAAACTAATAAATATAGAAAGTTAGACTGTAAAGGTTTAGAGTGCATATGAAATGAATGCTGAGTGGGCAGTTAACATCTGTGCTCAAGTGTCAGCCTTGAAGCCAGAAAAGATGGGGCTCAGGAAAGATGGCCTGGCTAAACTCACTTGGAGTTTAGTGGATAAAATTTAGTGGATAAAATTTAGTGGATAATTTTAGGAAATTTAGTGGATAAATAGTTAGGAAACAAATTTAGTGGATAAAATTCTCCAAAGCAAACCCATGGTCATCAAGTAGACTCTGACTCCTCGTGACCACGTGGAGGGGTCTCCGAGGCTATACACCTTTATGAGAGCACGCAGTCTCATCTTTCACTCTCCCGGGCAGGTGGCTTTGACGCTCTCACCTTGCAGTTAACACTTATTGACTGGACAGCACCCTTAGGGCACCGCGGGGACAAAATACACGTTTAATATTGAGCAGGTTTTTGTCTTGCTGTTTTGTTTCCTTTTACTGTAACCCTTTCATTGGGGGTGTTTTATAATTTGTGAAGTAGAAAATGAGGCTGATGTTTCTGTCCAACTGAATATCAGTGTGCTTCTTTCCAACTAAGTGAATATGCTATAAGCATTTTTTCAGCAAGGTGTTGTGAAATAAGATCCTTCTTGGGTGCGTCGGAATCAATTCAGTCAATGGCTGTGAGTTTTGTTTCTTGTTTGTTTGTTTGTTTGTTTGTTTCTGGTAAACAAGGGCTACGGGTGACCTGGCTGTGGTTAGCAGAGGGCACAGGACACTCCACAAGGGCATCTCAGAAGTTTCGAAGACAAGAAGACAAGGTTTGCTTTGGAGCCCAGAAAGTCCACCAACCCTGCCAAGTAGTTAGGAAACAAAAGTTACCTAATAATAAATAGCATTTCCAGGGCTAAGTCTTTCTGATGACCCACCTACCCCACCCCACCCCACCCACACGCCCACCTTAGCATTTGCTATTTTTAGGGTGCTTAGCGAAGGGCCTCCCTGGCCTTTGGAGACACGTACGGAACAGACGCCTCGATCCGGCAGGACAGAGGTTGAGTTTGTTCAGATCGTTGATGGAGTCCACAACGTAAAGTTTCCCATCTTCATGAGCGCCTCGGGAGCCAGTGTCCGGGGCAGGATGGTTCATCGCTCCTAGGAGAGAAGACAGTCAGCACGGAGCTGGGGCTAGGGCCTGCGCCCCAGGAGCCAGCGCCCTAGGAAGCTAGCCGACAGATAAAGAATCGCCCACAAATGTTGTTTCCTACCGAAGAGTCCACACCAGACGAAAAGGTTCCTGCTGGGACAGCTGTGTGCCCGTCCTTGGCTCTTTGCTCGCTAAGAGAGCTCGGAGTCACAGGTGTGGCCCCGTTTTCTGAACTGCCCCAGGTGCCCCCGAGTTGATTCCGACTCAGGGAGACTGTGCTCCTGAGGGTTCTCCACGGCTGATCGTCAGGGCCCCATGGCCAGGCCTTTCCTCCAAGGTGCCTCTGCGTAGACTCGAACCCCCAATCTTCCCTTTTAGCCATTGAGCATGTCCAACGCTGGCACTGGCGCTTCATCCCCTGCTGCTGTGTAGACAGGAAACCTTGGTGGCGGGCTGATGCCTTGGGCTGCCACTAATGCAGGGCGCACTGGCCACTCCCCAAGAGAAAGCGGGGCTCTCCAGTGAAGTTAGTCTCGGAAACTTAGAGGCCGATCGTTCTACCCTGCCTGTGGGGTCACTATGAATCGGAATCGACTCGATGGCAACGAGCTTATTTTTCCACTTTTTATTTTTTTATGTGTACACGGTCTTTCAGCTTCCTCGGATCTCTCAACTCTTGTTTATTTTCCCCTGGACCTGATTTTTTGTTTGTCTGTTTGTTCCCAGTTTATTACATTGTCTGCATTCCCGTGAGATGCCTCAAATCTTTTGTGCTAGAAGAATGTGTATAAATAAAAGACAAAACTGAGCTAACTAGGCTGGGACCATATAGATTCTGAGAGAAAGCTTTACTAAGAACCAATCTAGGCTTTAATAAAGATGTGAATTTTTTCTTCTCTCCCTCCCCGTGGCCCCTACCCTAAAATGTCTCCTTCAGCCGAGAAACGTACTGGGTCGTCTCCCAGGCCACAGCAGCCACCGCACATGCTCTCTAGGGGATCCTGCAGCAGGCTGGAGGGGAGACTCCAGGCCCGGAGCTCTCTCTCACCTGAGTGCCCCTTGAATAATTAAATATTTTTAAAATAGTTAAATATCAAGATTGCCATAACAGTTCTCCAATGGCACCCCAATTTCAAGCCACACTGAAAAGCCCGGATAGATTAGAAAAGCCTATTTTAAGGCATTTTTCTAAAACAGCAACAGCCATGAGGTCTGTTAACTAAATGGAAAGGAAGCCCTAGGAAAACTGATTCCAGGGAATATAAAATCTTTTTTCTCTTGTCGTATCGCTTTCTTGTGAAGAGGATGTTCAATATACTCTACTCCACCCTCCACTGTTTTCACAAACGAGGACGCTGAGGCTCAGAGAAGTAAGTCTAAGACCACAGGTTGTGGCAGAGAAGTAAGTCTAAGACCACAGGTCCTGGCAGAGAAGTAAGTCTAAGACCACAGGTTGTGGCAGAGAAGTAAGAGTCTAAGACCACAGGTCCTGGCAGAGAAGTAAGTCTAAGGCCACAGGTCGTGGCAGTGAAGTAAGAGTCTAAGACCACAGGTCCTG